GTTTTTTTCGTTCGCTTGAATTAGATTAGACATTATTATTCTTTTACAAGAATATAGCCTATTCTTGTCTTTCAACTGGTGAGTCGCACATGAATACGTCAATCTCAGCGTACTGTCGTGGTGATGATCTGGCGTGTCATTTCTAAAAACCTTTTTTTTTCCAAAAACGCTCTTAACTTCAATACTGACATTACAGGTTTTGGAGCATCGATTAGTTAATATTTAAAGCCTGATCAATTTGCGTTTAGTAGCCTACTCACCTGCAAAGAAGCCAAAGATGAATTAAATGAGACGTTGACGTATTGATTGGAAAGCTGACGTCACAATGCACCAAGTAAGTTCATTGGATGAGTAGACCACTCCGCCCGGTGCTTGTCCATCATTATGTCAATGCTCAATAAAGTTAACGCGAAAGGGACGACCCCTCTCCTGCCCACTCAGTTCCAGACACCATGAGAGCCAAATCGTCTTTAATTTCTTCAATGAATGATATAGTGTAAAGCGCATAGAGCCTGCTGTTGAGCGGGGATATGTGCTATACAAATGCTATTTATTATCATTATTATTAATTCTTCCTTCGGCATTGTCACTTTCCAATAAGATCTTTTTGCATGCCATTATATTCGAAGTTTCTCTCACTGCTTAAACATTCCCCTCTAAAAGATTTCTAATAATGTCTTTCTGTACGTCATTGTATATGTATTCGAAATTCCTTTGCTTATACATTCCCCTCTAAAAAGTTTATATTAATATATTTCTGCATGTCATTGTAGTCGAAGTTCACTGCTTCCACATTCCCTTCTAAAAAGTCTATAATAATATCACTTTGCATGTTATTGCATTTAAAGTTTCACTGCCTCTCCATGTCCCTCTATAAAGTTTTGAATGGAATTCGTTCAGTGGCTTCTATAATGTACAAGTATCAACCTTCGATCGATTTTCCGTCTGACCGCCTGTCAGCCAGTCCTGTATTTTTTTAGCCGAGATTCGAGCACGGTACGGTATGTAATTCCTCGGAATCCTCTCTTCCCCAGGGAGATGAGACTCATTTCACATTCGACTGGAAGGATCGCCTCGTCGTTAACAAACATTCGAGGGCCGTCTCTGATGACATTCTGACAAGTAACGGAATTTTGTACAAGATTGATCACGTGATTCCGTGCAGCTGCGAGAAGTTAATGCGCACGAGACGGGGGCAGTATCTATCCGCCCACAGGTACCGGAGACGGTACTGAGCTCTGATGACTGGACCTTACGATGAAGGAAATAGCTGTTCACCGCGTGAGTGCTTATCAAGTATTAGTGAGTCAATCTGACAGTCTGAGTGGCATTATCGACAATATTAAAAAGTATTATTTTATGCTCACTCCTCGTAAGTAGTCAAGGGCATGGTAAATAAGTAAATAACTTTTGGAACGGCTGTTGCTGAGAGAGTTAAAGACTTGCCGTTTTTGGAAGATGCCATAGTAATAATCTGTCTGTCTGCCTGTCTGTCTGTCTGTCTGTCTGTCTGTCTCTGTCTCTGTCTCTGTCTCTGTCTCTGTCTCTCTCTCTCTCTCTCTCTCTCTCTCTCTCTCTCTCTCTCTCTCTCTTTCTCCTCTCCCCCCCCCCCTCTCTCTCTCTGAGGAGAGGTGGGTCAAAAGAAAACCATCATCTTATGTCCTGCTTTTCAAAATTCTCATTTTGATGGCGCCGTTATTATTGTTGTTGCTGTTGTCTTTTATTGTTGCAGGTGCTGTTACAGTCAAAAATGAAATAATGGTTAGTTTTACTTTTAGAAAGTGAGAAAAAATTGGACCCAACAACTGATGTTTGTGAACACCCTACCTACTTTTCCGTGTTTCAGGACGAGGAGATGGAATGTGTGTGTGTTTTTCCCTGGGCTCGCTCCGTCACATCAACACGGGTACATCCCAAGCAGTTCCTGTGTCGACGAGAGCACAGATTGAAGGAAGTGTACGCGACACCAACATCATTTACTGCCGCAAGGACCACCCACCAACCACCACCACGACGACAACAACACTCCCGTCTCCTCTTGGACACATTTTTAAATTCTCACCGCATAAACCTTGTCGTAGTTGTTGATGTTGTGTTTGGTTTAGGCCTGACTCCAAGTCGGCGCCGTAACGGATTGATTGGGCCGTGCACGCTATAGTTCAGAGGGGAAAGCAATCAGAGGCCATAGCATGGCTTCATTTTTTAAAGATTTAGGTGCTTTTACGCCCCCATCGACACCATTTAGATAATTAATTAATAGGCGGCGCTTCCACCCTGCCTGCCTGCCTGCCAAGGGTCAATCTGAGCTGGGAGGGATAGAACATCCCAGCAGAAAGACCGAGATACTCGATAAAAAAGGACTTCCCTACACGGGAATCAAACTCGGTTGTTTGGCATGTAACAGCGAAGTGCCGAAATGCTTCACTATATGATGTAGTTCAAGGCTGCTTCGCCTGCTGTTTCCACTCAAGTACGAAAGATGTGCGCGCCTGTGTTCCTTTTGATCTTTGCTTAACATTTCGGCTACGTCATTCCACAGGCGCTTGAGGTTTTTTTGGTGGCTTTTTTTTTGTTTGTTTGTTTTTTTAGATAAAAGTTCGACCAAATCAGAATCTTGATTTGGGCGCTTGTAATCTTTCAATTAAGAATTAGGAAGGAAATAACATTTTAAAAAGCTACATTATAATTATATTGTTATTACTGAATGATGCCCCTTGATATCTTTATAAATTCGAATGACGGCTTCGTCTCGGAACCCCCCAGAAACTGATTTGGACGAATGTGGAGTGACTGATGATTTGTTTTTAAAAAAAACAACAACATCTATGTACTTAACGAATTGGTCAGAATCTTTAAGATTGACAGGCGGTACAATTGCATTCTCGAGGTCAACGAAGAGCGGGTTATCGGACGAACGAGGACAATAAACTTTTGTTTCGGAAACGTTTTATTGAGATGAAACATCTTTTTAACAGATGACTTTGGAAATACTTTGTACCGTAACAGTAGCTGAAAGGATAGGACAGGGCATAGCTTTGACGACCGAATGCGTCTTCGCGTTGCTTTGTGATCACATTAGTGATAGTGCTGGGCGGCTTGGTTCCCGATTATTGAAAGCTAGGAATCGTAGGAATCGACTCCGAACCCAATTACTAACTTTCTAATGATGTGATTTCTTCTGGTGGTTACCTGGTTGACTCCGATCATCTTCAGGGTTTAGGATAACCTTGATTTCGAAACACTTCGAAGCATCAACTTTTATTTGTCAAAAATACATTCTTTAAAAAAAAGGAGAAGATTTTAATGATTAAAGGAACTGGTAACCGTTGGTTTACGTAAAAAGGAGTTATAACTTTTCTTCCGTAGCATTAATGCATCGTTAAAGGGGATCGGTTCCGGAATCAATTCTTCGCCCAGCTCTAAATAGTGAACAGGTTAGGCGGTTAATTAGTATTATCTGTGTGTTTTCATGAATAGGGCATAGGGTTTTACGAATATTTATCGCTTTCACGTGATTATCATTTTAACAGATCTCATTAAAATGTTTTAACGTCACACATGATAGCTCACAACATCGCTAAATCATAAAGTATTCAAATTGTCATTGTTCCGACCAGGCTCGATCCTATAGGCCTATATTATAATACATGTATTAGATTAGTATAAACGATCACTTTTCTCTTATGTCATAAGACACATATTATTTTTCTGTTTCAAGTACATATAGGGTCATCACTTTGTTTTTTGAGTAATTTGGGCTTACATTCGTGGAAATAAGCTCACTGAAGTAAGACTATGTAGGCCTAAGCCGTGGTTTGGGGGATTGTTTAATGCAACAACCGCCGGGGATGGGTTTGTTAGTGTTTTTACTACTTTTATGTGGTTGTTGTTACTGTTTTCATTTTGGTTTCTTATTTGGCTGTTGTTGCTGTTATTGTTATTGTTATTGTTATTGTTATTGTTATTGTTATTGTTATTGTTATTGTTGTTGTCTACGGACACTCCAAACTTCAAATGAAGAACTGCGATTTTAGCTCAGTCCTTCTCAGAGTTTTTTGTTCTTGTTTTTTTTTTAGCTGATCTCCAAAAGTCGCCGGTTTTTCAATAGATTGCAGTTTTACACAGATCTGATTAAAAGAAAGTCACTGCCAGTCGTAGGTTTCTATCCACATATATTATGTTCCTTTTTGTCTCGTCAATAGTTATAACTTGTTTTTTCAAAGAAGCCAAACCGTTATGATATTTCAACATTTTTTTTTTAAATTGCATAGTCTGTTCACACGTATAGAAGGAAATAATTATTATCAGACTGACCATAAAAATTTTTTTTTAATTTGAAAGTTTGAATGGTGATATCCTCCAACATTCGTAACCACTCTTTAACATGGCCATGGTCTGACTTTAAACCTCCCACTTATTAATTTAAAGCGTCTTTTGTTGTCGATCCTATTTTGCCTAAGAAAGTTTTAAATGACATCCACCCCCACCTCCAGCTCCCCAACCAAAAACAAAGAAAAATAAAAAAATAAGATGAATAAAAAGACAAAAGAAAAGAAAAAAAATCAACAACCAAACAACAACTAAACAAAAAACAAAACCAAACCCGTCAATAACAAGCAACAAATCAAGGCAAGAAAAACCACAAAGTAACTCCACAACAACACACTAGCTAACTTCACAACACACTAGCTAACTCCACAACACACTAGCTAACTTCACAACACACTAGCTAACTTCACAACACACTAGCTAACTTCACAACACACTAGAAACCTGCTGCAGCTTGTTGAAGAAGAAGACTGAAATACATTGTAGGCTACTACTAAGACTTACTTTTCCTTCTGTAGACAAATCTTGTGACTAATGCACGCTTTGACTGTTCCTTGATGAAAATATTTTCATTAGCCTTCATAATAATAATGTGAATAATATGAGCTAATTCTAATATTCATGTTATTCTTTAATGATTAAGAAGAATGTTTCGAAACAATTTTTATCACAAAGATATGTGCAATTGCTCATCTTTCTTACCCAAACCACGTACACTTAGTTAACAACGGGTTACTAAATGAGTACTGTTACTGTTACAGCACTGTAAGACAGGCGCCAACATACGGAAGAATATCACCGGCTGCATTCTTTAGCCTACGTAAAACCAAAACTTTTTACTATCGAAACGCGATATCGTTAACACAGCATATGACTAAGTAGACCAAGTTAATGCCCTACGGAATCTCGGTACATCATTTTCATTCTATACTTTTGTTTTTGTAATGGTTTGTTTTGTTTTGTTTTTGCGGGGCTGGTGAGTTTATTTTTTTAGGGTAGACAGGTGCAATTATGAAAATTTGTTTGGTTTTGATAATAACCAAACAATTCCACTCAAGGGTATACTGTATAATACGTTTCATTTGTTGCTTTTTCTCTCATTAAGTCGTTGTTCATAAATTATGCCGTTGATCGTAATGGGATCTTTTACTTGTTCAATATTTTATACTTTGGTTATGATATTATGGATCTCTATGTTCGGTATGCTTCAATAAACAATCAATTCTTTAAAGACAAAGTTCCTTCTTGTTCCTTTTTTTTCTCTCTTTTTTTCTTCATACTGGATTCTGTTAGTTAGATATTATGACTACACGTATTAATCACCCTACTTTTGATTCAAAGTCAGGTTTATAGTTCAGGTATATTGCGTTTTAGCCACTACTGATATTGTAAACCAAAGGGGGGAGGGGGGGGGGGGTTGCATCATTGGTTTGGGGGGGGGGGGGTTTTGACAAAAATTATATATTTGTCCACAATCAACCTAATAAATTTTATTTTTTTGTGCGCGTGTTTTTAAATAATTAAACCCAAATTTTTTTTTTTTTTTTTTTAAAATATTTTGGGGGGGGGGGGGGGGGGGGGGGGCAGGCACTCATCAAAATAATGAAATCGAAGAAGCCGGCGTTTTATGAAGAACACAGACATGACCACCAAGTCTAATGATAAAGATTATATTATAGGCACTTTTTGTTATGTAAGATCGGGAGATTGGTGTAAGCCTATACTTTCCTATACTAGGTGTCGGCCTTTTGTTGGAGTTGTATCCCCAAGAGGAGGACTTAACACGAAATTCGGTAATTTAATTTTAGTTCTAGGAAGATTATCACGGCACGTGCAACAGAAGCAGGTGTATTATATAAGTGCCGAAGATCAGAGATGTCACTAGAGAGTAATCTACCAGCTCGCACCCCTTCTATCTCGTCCAAACATCTTCACGAGACAGCTTATCATTTCACTTCAAATTTATACCAACGTTACGTTGCCAGGTGCCCGACCTGGACATTAAATAAAACCCATGAAAGCAAAATCCCAGCATGCGAAATGAATCAATCAATGTCTCTGCAAAACCCGTAGCGACACAAGGCGAGACAGGCAGAGAAATGAAGAAGGGCACTTAGGGGTACAGAGTCCTGCCTGCATTTCATTGAAAAACGAAGAATAATGGTTTGGTCCCATGTTTCGAATGTCATCAAGCCAACCAGCCTCGAGAGCCTATGACAGCAAGCACTCCGGCTATAAAGGAAGAGGAAGGCCACGCAAAGGGTGGATTAAGAGAGTCGAGGAAACCCTGAGAAATTATAATACATGTAGATCTATCCTAATTAAAAGATCTGCGGAGCTGGCCTACCATAGAAAACTGCATCTCACCTCGACATTAAATTAAACCCAAGAAAGCAAAATCAGTGCATGCGAAATGAATCAATCAATGTCTCTGCAAAACCCGTAGCGACACAAGGCGAGACAGGCAGAGAAATGAAGAAGGGCACTTAGGGGTACAGAGTCCTGCCTGCATTTCATTGAAAAACGAAGAATAATGGTTTGGTCCCATGTTTCGAATGTCATCAAGCCAACCAGCCTCGAAAGCCTATGACAGCAAGCACTCCGGCTATAAAGGAAGAGGAAGGCCACGCAAAGGGTGGATTAAGAGAGTCGAGGAAACCCTGAGAAATTATAATACATGTAGATCTATCCTAATTAAAAGATCTGCGGAGCTGGCCTACCATAGAAAACTGCATCTCACCTCGACATTAAATTAAACCCAAGAAAGCAAAATCACTGCATGCGAAATCAATCAATCAATGTCTCTGCAAAACCCGTAGCAGCACAAGGCGAGACAGGCAGAGAAATGAAGAAGGGCACTTAGGGGTACAGAGTCCTGCCTGCATTTCATCGAACAACAGGGGGTGAAAAAGTAAAAGTAAAAGAAAGTAAGTACCAAAGTGTAACATAAAAAGAAAACAAATATGGGAGATAAGGACGATAGCTGACGTTTGACAGGAAAGAAGGAGAAAACCACCCCAGAGAACTCATGTGAGGCTGCGTGGTGGAATCAGGCTCTCGTCAATTTTTGGGCGTGTAGAGGTATTGGTATCATCTTAGAGCTTGTTAACGTGTGTTTATTTGGATGAAAAAAATATCCATTCATCTTGAATACAAGTCGAGATATTTGCGAATGAAAGAAGTTGGGGTCACCTGTTTTCAGAGGTAAAATTAGTGAGAAAATGGCTGCCAAGGATTAATTATTTCCTTAGCTTAAGAGTTCGTGGTAACTGAAAATTTACATCTTTTGTGTCTTTAATCAACGTTTTTCAGAAAAATCCACACAGAAATGAGTTCTTTAATAGGCATGAAAGGTTTTGAGCCAACAAACAAAAATTTGATAAAAATCCACAAACCAGCGGAAAAATGTAAGTTTCTTCACTTTTATTATTTTGACGAGAGGCTGATTCCACCACGCTGCCTCACTCATCAACCACTAACATTCTCGACAGTGCCCCCCAGACGCAACAGCTAATGGGTAGTGTTTGTTTGAGTAAAGAACAGCAATGGTTCTTTAGTGGTCATTTAGTGCTGGGGAAAAGTAAGACAGACTGATAAACAGACA